CTTCTGCCTCCATCTTTGAGTCAGAGAGAGAGGACGAGGTCTTGTATTATTGTCTTTACCTATAAATAACAGGTGTGAGTCTTCAAGAGATTATTTTTCGGTATTTGGCGTAAATTAATGAACACCAAGGAAACAGAGTGGTTAGCTCATCAGCGCACCGATTTACTCACCTGGTTTGATCCCATGATACACCTTGTGGCTCTCTTACAGTCTTCATCAACCTCGACTGGTATTTTTTTTCACTTTTAAGCTTCTCATCTCCTAATTTCCCCGGTTTACTTATGCGTTCCCTTGGCTTACGTTATCGTAATCTGGACAAAGTGAAAAATATAATATTGTTCTCCTAAGAAAATAAAACCAGAATTCATAGTGTTACGAGTTAGAGACCATCTTTTCACATTCACCGTTTACCAGGTGGAGCGCAGAGTCGTTTTAGTCACCCCTAAATATTATTTATAATTTTCTTTAGTTATATTTACTTTTTGTTTTCTCTGAAGCAAGATGTTTGCGGTAACTATTATAAGATCTAATTTAATTGTAACATTTATTATTGTTGATTGGGTGTATTGTATTTGCATTATACTCTTGTACAGTACTTAAATAACAAGCATAATATAATTCAAGGGTCAATTTATAGTAGAATACATAGATCGATATTGTCTTGTTGTTGTTGCTAATAAGCTTAAACAAGATGATTTTCACCATGACACTTTTGTCGTATTTTACTCATAATCGAGATATCGGGAGTAGGAAATCAGACAACTACTAGAAAAGCTATATTACATTTGTTGCTTTAAGAAGGGAGAAGTTTTTGTTTGACTGAGATTACCATCCTTACTATACTTTATTTCTTTCAACTCATTTATTTTCATCTTATTTAGTTTGTTGGGTTACGCCTTAGTAGCCTGTCCATCAAGCATTATTACCTCGTCCGCCATCATTACATCTTCAGAGTGTAGGCGTGGTCAGGAGCAACACAGAGCGACTAATATGATTCCGGATCGATGTGATCTAGATTATCAAAGTAGACTGACAACTCTCAGACAAGGCACAATCGGGCAGATCTCATTGAAACATACAAATTCCTGAAAGGAATCGAAAACATGAAGCCAGGCCATTTGTTTGTGATGTCACGAACCACCAACACGAGAGGCCATAACTACAAACTCGCCAAGTTATCATGCAGAAAGAACATAAGGCAATACTTTTCCATACAGAGGCTGGTAGACCTATGAAACGGTCTATCAGCCCAAGATGTGGTGATTGTGGTAGACTTTGAAACAGTCTACCAGTTCAAGCTGTGGTACTGATTTAGAGAATAGTACTGGGATTCAAAATTGCCCTTCAGAAACTAATCAAGAACACTGGAGGATTCTACACAGGCCACTGGCCTCCTTCCGTCTAGTGAGTGGTCATTAGGTAAATAAGGTAAACAAGGTGTGGTCATTCGAGAACTGAATGTGGTCGTCATCAGCCACACAGTTGTCCATCACAGCACCTTACTAAAAACTAAGTAAACTTTCACTCACCTGTTCGTTAAAGTAAACGACTTCATATTTTCCACGCTTTATTGTTTGCACATCACCAAATGTATTCTTAATGATACTAGCACACAGAATCCTTATCTATCTCGGAAGATAACTCAATAAAGGAGACAGCACCAGAAATAACTTATGGAATTAACCAAAATTTCTAGAGATAATATTTGCATGATACGATACTGCACACAAAAATGGAAGCTAGAATGTACAGAACCTATTAGAACCTGACCCAACCTTACCTAACCCCACCTAACTACTTAACCTGTGCATTATCGTTTCGTTTTTCTTACTATGATCCAAACAGCATCTCTAGAAATAATGAATGAATTCAATCCAATATAAATCATAATAAACACGGCCTATAAGACCGTCGTTCGTTTCTTAACATGTAAACAAAGACCACGGGCGCTCCTGCATAGCAAAATTAAATAATGTGAACCAAAATGCGGTCCACAGAGATCCGACGGCGCCATAATTACAATAAATATTTTATTTCTTCGCCTACAGAGGACGTACAGACGTGAAATTACTGCCATATGATCATTGTTCGCGGTACTTTTACTCTCTTCTTTCATGCCCTGCCCACTAACAAGTAAATTATGATGGAAGGTTAGGCTAAAACGAAAAACAACATTACAATGTTGTCGCTTCGATTGGTAAAGATTTGGAAAAGGTCGACCACGGAATAATAACAAAAATAAGTTTTAATATTGTATTTTGTGGCGTTTCACGCGAATCTGACCTTCGTTTCCGTCGCAAATGAGCCGTTATGGAGATTTGACCCTCCAATTACCAATAATATTGGTTGCTCAAGCGGGCAGGGCTTTGGGTATTATTTTACTTGTCACTAAACAAATGTCGGGAATTTTATAGTTGCAATCGGTAATTTTGACAATTCTATGACGCTTTTCTTCATTGGCATTTCTGATGCAAATTACGTTTAAGCAGGATATTTAATATTTTATTATGCATGTTCGAACGTGGTGGTACGCACCCAGAACATAGAACGACTGTACAGTAGAGCTCCCAGTTAGGTTAGGTTAGGCTATGGTGGGTTAGATTCAAAACTGTTTTTCCGATGGTTTTCGGTGTGTTTTCAACACTTTTGGTTTTTGAAGTAGAGGGAAATTGTGGGGTAAAAACACGCAAAAAAATACATATTACGAAACGAAACCTAACGTAACTTCCTAACCAAAGAAACCAAGGACCTGACCTAACCTCTGTTGAGTATAAAACTTACCTTAATTAACAGATGCTAGAGGATAGTGATGCTACTTGTAGGAGGAAGTGATGAAGTACTGTATAGTGTTGTGATCATTGTATTCGGCTTGGAGCAAGTGCCAAACTCTTGATATCCTTCCACAATCGTTCTATATTGCCGGTAGCACTTCACAGAGGTTGGCTGAATACCACGAGTCTTAAAAAGTGCCAATGGCAGCGGCTTCGTTTTCGAATACACGATGAATGATCTGCCAAGCTAATACAGAACGCACGTGCAGAGAGAAACCATTTTGCGACTTGCCAACTGCCAACAAAAGATCAAAACTTCGAGGATGCACAGGAGTATCACTTGACACCGAGACTCTCGGTGATTGGCGGAACATACACGCGTGAGTCAGATGTAAACAGTGTTTCCTGCCAAAATGTAAGTACCAGTGTGAAAACGATGAGTCTAAAATACTCGAAAAATATACATTTCCGACGGAAACGAAATATTTTTTATTTTTTATTTATTTATTTTTTCTTTGCTTTATCTCCCTATATAAACAAATACTAAGTTTCGTGGTCAGCTTTTTCCGAATCTTAACCCTTCGATTTTATTGCTCAGTATCATCCAAACATCTTCTGAAAATTTGGTGCAAGTCCCTAAATTATTTCCGGTGCTAGCTGTCTTCTCCACCTCTACCCGTATACTGTATATAGTTACATACAGTCATATGTATATTGGCACAAGTGTTAATTTGCTTCCCTTTCCCAGCACCTGCACCACTACCACTATCGTTTACCGGTTCCATGACAAAACCCCAACGGGGTTGTCATTTGTCAACACTAACCTAACCTAACCTAAACATAAAAGTGTTTTATTTTATATTTTATATATGAGACTGGGGTTTTGTCCGGTCACCCATTTACCACCACCATCACCACCACTACTATCACTTCCCAGCACTACCATAATCACTTTCTCCAGCATCACCACCATACAATCACTTTCCCAACAGTTAATAAGCCCCAGAAGCAAGGTGGTCCAGCCCGTATTAGGAGCCTGCAGGGGACTTTATCTGCACCGCTCTCGTCCTCAAGTTTACTGAAGATTCAAGGCGATTCCCTCACTCACTCTCAATAAAGTGATACATCTCCATTTGAATCATTATTCGTAAAATATGATCATTTAAGCCAGGGAAGAAATACTACACACACTAAGTGGCGCTGTGGTTGACAAATTTGCCACAACCTCGGCTCATCGACTCCATTTAATTTCTATCTATAAAATACATTATACGACTAACAAAACATTTTATTTGTATATTTATCCTAGTATTTTAATGTTGTGTTCAGTGAGTCAGTAAAATATTATTACTTTTGTCTACGAATTGTTCCATTTTTTCTTCATAAATTTCTTCATTTTGCTGAGCTATAACTGTACAGGTATCAGTGATGTGGCTTTTGGGTAATTCAGTAATATAATTTAGTTGCCATTATTAATAACTTTAGACAATGGAGAATAAGTTACAATGTTACAGAAGATAATGATAAGTTACAGTGTTACAGAGGATAATGATGTTACAGTGTTACAGAAGATAATGATATGCTACAGTGTTACAGAGGAGAATGATAAGTTACAGTGTTACAGAAGATAATAATAAGTTACAGTGTTACAGAGGATAATGATAAGTTACAGTGTTACAGAAGATAATAATAAGTTACAGTGTTACAGAGGATAATGATAAGTTACAGTGTTACAGAGGATAATGATAAGTTACAGTGTTACAGAGGATAATGATAAGTTACAGTGTTACAGAAGATAATGATAAGTTACAGTGTTACAGAAAATAATGATGAGTTACAGTGTTACAGAGGATAATGATAAGTTACAGTGTTACAGAGGATAATGATATGCTACAGTGTTACAGAGGATAATGATAACAGTTACAGATAAGTTACAGTGTTATAGGGATAATGATAAGTTACAGTGTGATACAGAGATAAGATAATGATATGCTACAGTGTTACAGAGAGATAATGATAACACCAGCCTAATGATAAGTTACTGATGATACACAACATGATAAGTTATATATAATGATAAGTTACAGTGTTATAATCATATACAGCACAGATAATGATAAAGAAGAAAATAATGATGAGTTACAGTGTTACAGAGGATAATGATAAGTTACAGTGTTACAGAGGATAATGATATGCTACAGTGTTACAGAGGATAATGAAACACCAGCCTGAAAAATTCTATATATAATACATGAAGATATATTACAATAATCATATAATATATATCACAATATACAAAGAAACACAACCAAGTGTTTAATGTGGCACGACACGGGACGCTTCTCCTGCATACATGAACACATACATACATACACACATACATACATACATACATACATACATACACGTCACAGAACACCTGATCACGGTATACAACCTGTCCCACACACGGTCATTTAACACATGGTAACAGTGAGTGAGTGAAATGAGTAAATTCTGGTATAACTAACTGATGTATTTCTTCAACACTGAAACAAGAAAATTATACTCATGGTGTGTTGATATATATATATATATATATTTTGCTTCTTATATCACCCAAAGTATAATATTACAACAGAGGCACATATCATCTGGCTCTCTGGATGAGTATAAACACAATTACTAACAACCCTATCTCATGTTGTAACAAGGTATATGATTGTGTTCCTCCCTTCTATAACCTTATCTGGCATCCCTACCTACAACCTCGTCAGTCATAGATCATCTTTCTAAAAATTCGTACAGGTAAAAGGAAAATTCACTTGATATTTGGATAAGGACAACAACCTGACATCACACTGTGTCTTACCTCCATTCATATCGCTTATAAAGATTCTAGCTACTACCCTAACACATTCCTCCTTCCCTAGCACACTCCTCCTTCCCTAGCACTCTCCTCCTTCCCTAGCATACTCCTCCTCACCTAACATACTTCTACTTCCCTAACACACTCATACTTCCCTAACACACTCACACTTCCCTAACACACTCTTCCTCATCTAACATACTTCTACTTCCCTAAAACACTTCTCTTCACCTCTGAAATCTCTCAGCACCAGGTAATACTTAATAAATCGATCCCCATCCTCCCTACCTACCCTACCTCTACTGCTGCCTCACGACCAACATCACACACACACACACACACACACACACACCTCGACCGTGGCAAAACACGATGTAGATTTAGACACAATACTGACTGTATGCGTGTGGCACTTACCGACGAGCGTGACAGCATGCAGCAGAACTAAATATATAATTTCAGATACATTCTCATCTTTTACGATAAAAATGTAAGTAGCTGGTTTAGTGTATTGGCATCGAACAATATGGTATCTATGAGTTTTTGTGTTTTTGCAGAATAAGAGTGATTTAGAGGGTAGGAATGTCCATCATATGTAATTAATCATATAGAAATGACTTAATACACGATTTTTTGGAGGGTCGTTGATGATTTAATTATCTTGCAGCATAATCGTTGACATAATTAGGGTTGAAATGAACTGTAAGTTACAAACCATAAATTCCGTGAAGAAATATGTCAGATAGATACCTCATCTCTCTCTTCCTCAAGGTGTAGTCACAAGTGAAGCGAGTGGTGTTCTCGTTCTCACCTGGTACATGATTTGGTTCTTCCCCCGAACCATCAACACTCATGAAAACATTTTGGCTCACTGTCTTTTGAACTGTTTTGGGAAGGCACACGTGATAAGGGACAGGTTATTTTTTTGTAATGCTTTGGCACCGACAGATGTCCCTCGATCCTCCCTCGTCTCCCAACACATGATATGGCATCACTCACTTGGCACTCTTACTTGGCGAAGACAGGGGTCCTCGAGATGCTCCCCCCAACACACACTCCCCCATGCACGCCTAGTCCACTTAAATACACCTATATACAGGGACACATAGCACTGAGCACACTCACTAACACAGATGGAGAAATGTCCTCACTTAAGTTCCTGCAAGTGGGTGGTGCTCAGCACATTTGGGTAAACGCTAGCAAGACGAGGACTGCTGAGCGTGGTGAGAGAACTGTTTATGGCTCTTGGCTTTACTCCAGGCGGACGGGTGTTTCCCGGGTCGCTTACACGTTTTGGTCTTCACTTCCGACGCCTCGTCTGACTGATCGTTTTCTGAGGGTTCAGTCGTACCTAGTAACTGCTCCATGTATTCGGCGATCTCGGAGGAACCTATCCGCGCTCCTACAGACCCAACGCTCATGGGTTCATCATGCTCATATGCGGGGTTGAAGGCAGCGTAGGTGTTGAGCTCGGCCACCGTGTGGAGGATGGGCTCGTCAGAGCGTGAGGACATGCCCGCCATCCCAGCAGATGGCAGTGTTCCTAAGGTATCTTGCTCTCTCTCGGCGCTCCCGACTCCTGCTCCTCCTTTAAGGTCGTAATATCCTCGACTCTGGGAGGACGAGGGCACAGATCCGCTGAGGTCTCCCTGCTTGTTGCCTCCGTTGTTCCGTGAGGGAGAGTACCCAGAGTAGTGAGAGTCTGTCATGGAGCGACCGTCGCCCTCATCACGTCTGCTCAGCTCAGACACCACACTAGACTGTGGGAGTCCTGCTGACGTGTCTAGGCTAACTCCGATATTTGGAATCTGTGGATGAGCAGACACCCAGGGCTTGGGCCCAAATCTCTTGGGAGGGATGGGTGGTGGCTTCGGTTTAAAGTCGGGTTTAGGTGGCAGAGCTAGTTGGTTGTCGTCAGCAAGAGACAGCTTGTCGAAGTTACCAAAGCTGTCCTCTGATGCTGATTTGCTTTCGGAGTCTGCATGATCAGATGCGACGATGGGCTGAGCAGTGGACATGAGAAGTTTTGACAGAGGAGGAGCTAAACCGAGGCCCAAATTCCTCTCGTGATAGACGTCACTGATGGGCATCTCTCTGTTGAGGCGCGACATCTGTGTGGCAATGATGTGATCTTGGATACTCTTGTGACCCATGTGACTCATCTTCATGGACATCTCATCACCTGAACGGTAATTGTAGAGTGAGTCGTTCTCGTGGATGGTTGCTGCGTGGTTTGTGCGTGGACGTAACAGCTTACCGATGGAGGAGTCCAGCTGCACTTCCGGCATCTTTCTTGCCTGCACCACCTGCCGGGCCTCGCTGACCTCAGAGGTAGTGGTGGAGGTCACGTTGGCGCCAGAGCTAGAGGCTTGACCTTCGGCAACCTCAGCAGACAACTCACGTTCACTACTGCGGTCACGACGACCACGAGCCCCACCCAGCGTAGGGCGACCCACCTCCGTGCGGACACTGAGGCGGTCCAGGGTGTCCATGGTCGCACTCTTGCTCAGCTTGAGTGTGGCAGCGCTGCCCACAGTCGTGTACACACTCCTCACCGTCCCTGTTCTTCTGGGTCCAAAATCTGAATCTGAACTTTGGGATTCAAACCCGGAGGAGGCCTGGGAGTTACTCTTGTTGATGGAGACGTAATGTGGCCTCATAAACCCGGCGCTGACGTCACTCACGCGGCTGTGGGCGGACACGGGAGCTTTAGATGCGATGATGGGCTTGGCCAAAGGTTGGCGCCTCACTGTTGCCTGGCCACTTTCCCAGTCTGTCATGCTACTGGTACTGCTGGAACTGTCGGGTCGTTTGCCGCCCCCGTCACTTGCTGGAGACGCTGAAGTGTACATGGATCGTATCTTGTTCTGGTGAGCAAGAGTGAGAGAAAGGCGCGGGGAGGGCTGGGGCGACCCTGTATCACTTGGGGGCCCGTGGTTAGGACGGAAAGCTTGTGAGTATTTGGCAACGGGGTCGACAGGTGAAGGCGTGAAAGCTGCGTCACTCTCCCGCCCCTTCTGCTCGCTGGTGGAGGCCCGGGCGCCATCTGGCTCACCGCGGTTCCTGACGTAACTGGAGAAGGCACCACGACCCAGTAGGAGGGGGACAGAGCGGTGAGGAAGGAGCGGCTGAGAGGGCGGAGGTGGTGGAGGTGGAGCTGCCACGGACTCGTCCTCATCGTCGGTACTCACTAGGGACTCCAAGCTGCTGCTTGAGTCCACACTGAGGCTCTTTGGGGCATCTTGGGTGTCTGCAAGACAAAATAAAACATGAAGATAATACAGAGACAGCTTTGTCAGGTCTGAACAATCAATTAAGAAACCTTTCTATCTTATAATAAAGAATAAGCGAAAAATCTGGCGATCTGGAACTATCATATTTTATACCAAACGTCCAAATCCTCGGCAAGAATAAGCAGAAATAAAATATCATCATATACAGAGGATAATAAATAAAAAAGATTAATTTTCAGCTATAAGAGTGCATCTCTTTGGAAGAACTTATAACTTACTTAAAAAACTTGAATGACACAATATTCATTTTCTTTATATTCCATAATTAAATTATAAAAAAAGTACACCCAAGCAGTAAATTCTCCTTTTTTATCGTGTAGCGATATTCAAGAGTTAGGGAAGTGCAACAGTTAATAGTATCCAAGAATTAACATCAACAACCAAAAGTTAGCAATAACCAAGACATAGTAATAATCAAGACCTACAGTAGTAATAAACAAGAGTTACTAATAACCAAGACTTGGTAACAAACAAGACTAAGTAATAACCAAGACTTAACAATAACCAAGAATTAGTAATAAACAAGACTAAGTAATAACCAAGACTTAACAAAGACCAAGACTTAGTAATAACCAAGACTTAGTAATAAACAAGACTTAGTAATAAACAAGACTAAGCAATAACCAAGACTTAGCAATAAACATGACTTAGTAATAAACAAGACTAAGCAATAACCAAGACTTAGCAATAACCAAGACTTAGCAATAACCAAGATTTAGTAATAAACAAGACTAGGTAATAACCAAGACTTAACAATAACCAAGACTTAGTAATAACCAAGACTTAGCAATAACCAAGACTTAGCAATAACCAAGACTTAGTAATAAACAAGACTTAGGAATAACCAAGACTTAGCAATAAACATGACTTAGTAATAACCAGACTAGGAATAACCAAGACTTAGCAATAAAGACTTAGTAATAACCAAGACTTAGTAATAACCAAGACTTAGCAATAACCAAGACTTAGACAATAACCAAGACTTAGCAATAACCAAGACTTAGTAATAACCAAGACTAATAACCAAGACTTAGGAATAACTAAGACTTAGCAATAACCAAAGACTTAGCAATAATAACCAACGACTTAGCAATAACAAGACTTAGCAATAACCAAGACTGTAATAAACAAGACTAAGCAATAACCAAGACTTAGCAATAAACATGACTTAGTAATAAACAAGACTAAGCAATAACCAAGACTTAGCAATAACCAAGACTTAGCAATAACCAAGATTTAGTAATAAACAAGACTAGGTAATAACCAAGACTTAACAATAACCAAGACTTAGTAATAACCAAGACTTAGCAATAACCAAGACTTAGCAATAACCAAGACTTAGTAATAAACAAGACTTAGGAATAACCAAGACTTAGCAATAAACATGACTTAGTAATAAACAAGACTAAGTAATAACCAAGACTTAGCAATAACCAAGACTTAGTAATAACCAAGACTTAGGAATAACCAAGACTTAGCAATAACCAAGACTTAGCAATAACCATGACTTAGTAGTAACCAAGACCTAGCAGTAACCAAGACTTAGCAATAACCAAGACTTAGCAATAACCAAGACTTAGTAATAACCAAGACTTAGTAATAACCAAGACTTAGTAATAACCAAGACTTAGTAATAACCAAGACTTAGCAATAACCAAGACTTAGCAATAACCAAGACTTAGCAATAACCAAGACTTAGCAATAACCATGACTTAGTAATAACCAAGACCTAGCAATAACCAAGACTTAGCAATAACCATGACTTAGCAATAAGCAAGACTTACTAATAACCAAGACTTAGCAATAACCAAGACTTAGTAATAACCAAGACTTAGTAATAACCAAGACTTAGCAATAACCAAGACTTATCAATAACCAAGAATTAGCAACAGACGTCTGATGTAAGTATCTCACCGAACAGAGCGAGGAGGGCCTGATGAGCGAATTGTATGTTGCGTTTATTGGCCTGTTTCCCTGTACGTAGCGTCACCTCATCTCGCCCCACCTCCATCAAGTCGAATCCTGAACAGACACAGAGAAAAATAGTCATTACCTCATTATGCTTTATCGCTCCAAGTAACCACTCTGTTTTAAAAGAGCTGTGTATTTTTTTTCTACGAGTTATGTTTTTGTGTATGTAATTGCATGTCTTGTTATTCGTGTAGATTAACTTTTATTGCAGTACAGTATATCTTTTCCCTCTCTCTCTCTCTCTCTCTCTCTCTCTCTCTCTCTCTCTCTCGTTGTTCTTCACCCATAATTCTTTTTCTTTCTCTATCTCCCTATAACTTTGTCTGTTCCTCCTGTCTCCCTTCTCGTTTTTTCTTGTTATCCTTTCTCTACTTTCTTTCTTCCTTCCCTTTCTTCCTCTCCCTCCTTTGTCTTCCTTCTTCCCAGTACTTCATCTTCCTCAAACTTATCCTTTCTTCAGTCAGTCCATATCTCTCTCTTTCTCTCTCTACCCATTTCCCTCCACTTTTCTTCCCTCTTCTCCCTTTCTCTCTATACATTCCTTCCCACTTTCTTCCTTCATCTTCCACACTTCCCACTCCCTGTCCTCCTATCATCAACTCCTCCTCCCCCCCCCCCTTCTACTCCACCTCCCTCCTGCAGCAGTACCTAAAGAGGCGAGAAGTTCATGGCAGCCGTTCACCCTCCACAGTTTGACATGGACGGGAACTTCAATAGACTCGCTCTCTAAGTCCTTCAAGGTAAACTGGGTAATGACGGCCCTCATCACGGAGATCACGTCCTCCGCGTACTCTGGTGAGTCTAGTAGCTTGGAAACCGCCTGTAGGGACGTCTGTGAGAGACCTGTGGAGGAGATAAGAGGTGTGAGGTGAATCTCATGGGTGAGAGAAGAGATTTTGTAAGAAATTTTTACAATATGAAATGAATGGAGAAATCTGGTTATGAGTATGCCACCTGGAGACCTCACTACCTAGTATCCATGTCATCTAGTCCACACGTCACCTAGTACCCACATCATCTAGTACCCACGTCATCTAGTATCCACGTCACCTAGTACCCACATCATCTAGTACCCACGTCATCTAGTATCCACGTCACCTAGTACCCACATCATTTACTACACACATCACCTACTACCCACATCACCTAGTGGCTACGTCACCTATTACCCACATCACCTAGTACCCACATAACCTAGTACCCACATCACGTAGTATGCACATCATATTGTATCCACATAACCTAGTACCTACATCACGTAGTATCCACATCATGTTGTACCCACATCACCTAGTACCCACATCACGTAGTACCCACATCATGTTGTACCCACATAACCTAGTACCCACATCACGTAGTATGCACATCATGTTGTATCCACATAACCTAGTACCTACATCACGTAGTATCCACATCATGTTGTACCCACATCACCTAGTACCCACATCACGTAGTACCCACATCATGTTGTACCCACATCACCTAGTACCCACATCACGTAGTACCCACATCATGTTGTACCCACATCACCTAGTACCCACATCACCAAGTACCCAGAGACACACAGACACACTAGCAGCACTGACCAAGAAGAGCCTGAAGACTGGCGGAACACTGGGTGAGGCGCTCGCCGGGGTCACTCTGGGGGAAGAAGACACTGCTTGGAATCCCGTTGGCCGCTGGCTCGAACCTGAACCCGACACTCATCAGCAGATCCTTCCAGCCCGTGACGTTACCGACTTTGTTCTCGATGGACTTCTGTGTGGTGTACATGGCGTTACGATGACCACGGTGGATGCGTTGTAGGGATTTCTCCACCTATAATAATGTAAGAGACGACCCATGTGTATGTTGCCTTCTGGAACGTTTTATATATATATATATATATATATATATATATATATATATATATATATATATATATATATATATATATATATATATACACGAGCATATTTTGTGTTTATACCAGTTAATATGGTGGAGTTTGTATAGCTCACATACATGTACAGTATATATGCACATGCACACACACACAGTACTGACCAGGTGTAGAGTCACCCTCAAAGCATCTCGGCATTTGTCTGGCGTTCGCAGCAGCTCACACAATGCCTGGCCCATCAGCGCCACCTGTAGGAAGACGTGGAGTGAGTGGAGGGCAAGTAAAGGGAAGGTGGAGCTAGTGGAGGGAAGGTGGGGTCAGGGCTGTACAGCCGTAAATAAAGAGTTTGTACATGTAAAATAAAAGGCCAAGGGACACCAAAAGAATTCAATAATCTTAATAAGATAATGTCTTTCATCTTCTAACTACATCTGGTCAACTTACATAGTCTGGATCTCAACTATATTGTGTATAAGATAAGTTAAACAACAAACTGAAGTAATTTCAATAAAAAAATGGGACAGACAGAAATTTTGTCTACCTTTACTATTTTGACGGGAGAATTTTGTCCAAGGAGACTTTTATTTGTAAGGATCTTCTCCGTGTACCCAAAAAGTTACCTTATTTGAAAGCTTGACGTCAGCGCCTATCAGGAGGAAGCCAGCCCAGTTGGCGGGGTGGGCGAAGTGCTTGGTGGTCTGCACCGTCTGCTGGGCCTCAGATAAAGCTCGACTCACTCGGGCGCCCTGTGGAGGTCATCACATGTTAGTGAGATATAAATTTTTGTCCTGAAAATGGCATTAACTTTTATCCTGTCATGTTACTGTTGCTTAGAAATAACGGCTCATCTGTAGGTGTATATCGCGTGTATGCTGTATTGATATATCAAAAAGTATGGAAATTTATGCTAGTTTACAGCCATAAGACATTCACATCAGCGTACAAATTTAATCAAACTTCAATGGTCAAAGGAAATGGCTACTGTGAATTATTTGAAACATAAGACTCTGCTACAAGTGAGTTATACATTGTATCATTCGCCCTTTATGAATAGGTCGGGCAGGGAGACAACAAGTACCTGAAGGAGTGATGAGTAGAAGGTCCTGAAGAGAATCTTGACAGCGGTGTCCGGAACGGGCCAGAGGGACACCAGAACACACTGGGCCCCGGCAGCCAGCAGAGCACGAGTCAGACCCACCACACCATCACTGTTGGCTCGCCCGTGATGGTCCCGAGTGTGGCACGAGGACACTACCACCAGTTTGGCCCGCAACTTTAGGTTTAGGATGTCAGCCGCCGTTAGCAGGAACTCTGACAGTGCCGGGAGGTCGATGGTGGAGGCGATCTCCGAGCCCTCATCATCTAGGTGCTCATGGATGGCCTCAGGCTGAGAGGAGTGAGACAGCCTCTTAGACGCTCGAGACTCCACAAACTCGCCCGGGGAGAGAATCACAGCCGACAGCTTCCAGGAGACGTGGGAGGCCAGATGGATACACTCGACCTGGGATATGAGCCTCAAAATGGCCTCCTTGTTGGCACACGCTCCCGTCAGTGCCTTCGTCTGTAGCATTTCCGCTACTATGGTGGCTTCCTGCTCGGCATAGGGGATGTCCCCCCACCCCCACTGTTCCGTCACTGTACTCGGTAGTTTAGGGTTACCTATAACAAGTGCAGAGGTTTGTTCACCGCTGGGTTTGGAGTTCTTTGACCTCTGACTTACTCTTAGAGCACTAATAGATGGCACCACGAGCAGAGAATATCGTTCACACAAATAGTCATTACAGTTTGTGCCTTTGAGCACCGGGAAGGGGACGAGGTAAAGGTCCCCTTCTAGTACCAACATCAGTTCTCGCGACACCCCGGCCTCGGGCAGATGGTCTTCCATGGGCGCGATGAGCAGCTCATAGAGAGAGCGCAGGCAGGACGGTCCCTGCCATGTGACCCTCCTGGAGCGAGTAGACCCGGGCCGGGACGCTGGGCCGGAGGCAATAGACCCACTTACTGACCCCAAAGAGAAGAGAGACGACAAAGAGTAATTGGAAGAGTTGAATAAGTGATTCCTGTTGACCATCCTCAAGAAGCCAGTTCGATCGGCTTCGTGGTTGAGCTTGTCGCCGAGCTCCTCCAGGTGAGCGTTCCACATGTCTCCGGCCTCGCTCTCGGTCTCGCTGGCGATGCCCCCACGGGTGGCACCAGCACCACACTCCACCCCGAGGGCGTCACGCACTGACTGAATATAATGCTCCAGCAGTGACCCATTTGTGCCGGCCGCATCTTCCCCACAGTCGCCCTCCCGCTCAGCCTCCACTTCGTTCACGCTCACCTCATTGAACTTGACAATACCTGAGGAGAATTAAGACATTAATTTATGTATTGCTATATAACATAGAACAACCCTTGAAAAAACTAACAAACTACATTATAAGAATTCTGATTTACCATCGTAGTTCCTTGAAAACTTCAGTATTGTTTTAATCACCAGTATTTCCTAACACAAAATAGACACAAAGGCTGTAAATTTGAATATACACACAATATGTTTTTATATAACTAAAGCCTCCAACAGTCAATACAATGACAATAAATCAAATGAACCAAAATACTTACCTTTATTTGGTACTATGAGCCAGCTGTAGAGGCAGCCGGCAGCAATACTGTAGTAGAGGACAGAGGCTTTCTGCCGGTTTACAATTTCAACTATTTGGTCCACAGAAGCCGGAGTGGAGTCCTCGATCCTGGAGGCTCGAGAGGTAGTTGAGGCCCCCTGACGCTCAAACAGGAGGTCGACAAAGGCCCTCGTCCTCCCTCGCTCCGCTACCAGCAAGGCGTCTTCATTGCGGCCCAGACCAACTAAGACTCGCTGTAGCGCTTGATAAGAAGCGGTCTGCAGGTCGAAAAGTGAGAGGCGATAGTCCTGGGAGCCTCGAGCTTCTCTCCGTATGGTATCTAGTAAGTGGGCGGCGCGGTCGAGCTGTGTCTGGGCAGCCTCCAGGTCCCCATGACCCCACAGCGCCATGCCCAGACGATGTCGGATCTTAGCCTCGTCTTCGCGCCGGCCCAGCTGCTCAGCTATTTGAAGGCCCTGCTGCAGGTACGCCACTGCCTGAGTGGTGTTCCCGAGGGCGTGATGAACTCGACCCAGCGACGCATATGCCAGGGTCTTGGCCACCTGCAACACCAGAGGAGACGTTAGGACGGAAATTAATTGAACAAAAAACAAACTCCATAAGAATCTAAATCGACCATTTTCTACATTACTTTAACAAGGTGGATCGTCATAATAAAGTTCTTATCATGAACACATGATAAGAACACCTGAATGGATAGACACGTCTTGAGTAATAGCACAAGGAGACAAACCTTATCGTTCATCTGAGCAGCTATACTGAGGTGCTGTTCGCCGTGTGTCACCGCCTGCTCGAAGTTGCCGAGGGATTCGTATGCGAGGCTGATGTTGCCATGAGCTCTGCCCTGCTCGATTGGGTTGGTCAGTTCCTCGGCGATGCGTAGGTCCAGCTGGTGGTATCTGAGGGCGGTGGCGTACTCACACATCTGCTGGTACACTGTGCCCAGCCCGCACGCCGCCTCCGCCTCGCACAACTTGTCTCCCAGCTCCCTGTAGTAGAGGCCAGGTGGTGAGAAAAAACAAAAGATGATCTGACGTGAAAAGGTACAAGATAATTCAGGTAATATCAGGAGCAAAATCTGTAGCCACACCGCTTAAGGTCTAGTGAGCATCTACACACACATAGACACAACACACACACACACACACTACACAGGAAGATAACTCAGACCCACCTTGCTATCTGGTGCTGATGTTCCATGCATGATATAGCCTGCTCGAAGTTGCCCAGAAGTGAGTGGATGTGTCCCAGCTCGCCATAGGCTGAGCCCTTAGCGGCTGGCGTGTTGAGTTCATGAGAGACGACCAGGCGCTTCTCGTAGCAGACGAGCGCCTGCTGCAGGTTGCCAATACACCGGTGGGAACTGCCCAGACCACGGTACGCTCGTTCCTGGTCTCGAGGGCTCTTGGTCTTGAGAGCGATTGCCAGGTACTGAAAGAGAGCAAGACTTAAATAAGTTTCTCTCTTTTGAAGTTTACCTTACACGCAAATTAATCTTCCATGAGTCCCTCTACATAATTAAATTTCCGTTGCCATGCACGTATATGAATTTGTTTGACTGAACACAGCATTCATGGGTGTAAAATTGAAACCTTTAAAGTAGACAGTATACGAACAGATCCTTTCAGTGTGTAGATGAACTCCAGGAGGACAAATTTATTATTAAATTGACTAACATGAGTGATTAGTGAGAAGTGTTCAAACTGACCTGCTCGTGGCACTTGATTGCCTCGTCAGAGTCGCCGAGGGCGTCGTAGCAGTCACCGAGGTTGCCGAAGGCGCGACCCTTGTCGACGACGGCGGTAGTGGTGGAGAGCTGTTCTAGCGTCGCCAGCTGTTGCTCCAGGTACCCAATGGCGTCCTCGAAGTGGCCCATGTTGAGGCGCGCGATGCCCAGGTTACCAAAGGCCTGTGCCTCCAATGCCGCGTCCTGTAGGGAACCCAGAGTGTAAGACGTTAGTGAGGAGGTCGGGGAAGTGAGAGTGGGGTTGTTTACAAAGGATGGATGGGTAGTGAGAGAATTATCACTGCTGAATATTGATAAAAGAGGAGTTAAGGAAATGGCATAACAGAAAATGGAGAATTAGAACCTAAGAGAGAACAAGAAGTAAAGAACTCTTCCTGATAAAATAAAAATGGGAGTGAAGGAATTATTACTGAAGGAAAAGAATAGACCGCCCCCAGTAGCCATAAGAGGAGGCGTTACCAACAGTCACACCGGCGGGAGGTGACCAACGTGATCTCTCGGTCTGTTTACCTTGAGCTCCTTGGCCCGTTCCAGCTGCTCCTCGTAGCACTTCATGGCATTGGTGTAGTTGGCAAGGGACATGTGGACGGCTCCCAGGTGGCCATGAGCCTTACACTCCCCCTTAATGTCTCCCATCTCTTGTCGGATCGTCAGCTCCTGAAGGGGGGGGGGAGGACCAACAGATGGGCACAAATTAGTTATAAGTATACATGTATTTTATCTGCAGCCATATATCTTCACCTATGTGTGGTATCCTACAGCCATATATCATCCTACACGTACATAATTTCATCTGTGTCTGGTGTCCTCCAAGTGTACACAGGTGGGAGTGACACCGTACAAGTATACAAACTCCCTTATGATCCCCAGCGACCTGCCTCACCTGGGTATGGTATCCTAGGGCCTTGTCGAAGCACTTGAGGAGCCTGTGGGCGAGGCCGAGGGCGCCGTAGGCAGAAGCTTCTAAAACCTTATCACGGGACTGCTTGGCCAGGACGAGCTGCTTCTGGTAGACCTTCACCGCCTCGTCATAGTTCTTCATCTTCATCAACACGTCCCCGATATTGCCCAGCGCCCGAAACTTACCCTGAAGGTGCTTCATCATGTGTGCCAGAGCTGTGGGAGAGAGAGGGAGACAATTAGAAATAGAAGGAGAGAGACAGAAAGAGAGAGATTGAAAGAGAGAGAGAGAGGTAAGGGGAGAAGTGCCTCAGTGATGTGGGGAGGGACAATCGTCATGTGCACCAGAACTGTGAGGAAAAGAGAGAGAACCAAAAAAGTCGAGACGATGGACGGGGGTTGAGGAGGAAGGAAAGGGAGAGAGAAGAGAGTTGGTTAAAGAGAAAGAAAGAGAAAACTATAAAAGAAGGGAAGGATCAAGATGGAGGAGCACACAGGAGTAAACCAGCGTGTAAGCAACAGGGAGAGAAATATAAAGGCCATGCACACATTTTTTAAGTGTGTGTGTGTGTGTGTGTGTGCCGTGCCTCACTGACTTGAACTGATCTTGTCACGGACTTGCTAATCTGTCGCTCTTAATCACATCAACCAGCCAGCACCAATGAAACCTTTCTACAGTCATTATCGTAATCCATCTCTGCTGCCCATTTTCTTCTGTTCTTGCAATTTTTGGTGGAGACTTGTGAGTAGATCCGTCTGTGGCCGGTAGTGGGAGGGATGGGGGGGAGTATACAAATGTGCTTGGGTGACCTCGACGTGTTGCGCAAGGCTGGAGGGGTTGTTGGTCGACCATCTGAAGGTGACCCACATCACTACTACCTGATGTGGCCCCGTATCACCACACACACACACACACACACACACACACACACACACACACACACACACACACACCTACACACACACACGCACACGCACACACACACACTTGAGTCTGTATGTAGGAAGCACGTGTACACCTGTTTTAGCTCTACCTGAGAACGATTATATTTGTCACCCTTCCAGTCCTTTACAGAGAGACTCACGGCGCACAACACTGGCCAGCTGAACATTAATGTACCCGTGATTATTATGCTGGCCAGTGAGTATTACGAGTATTATTATGCTGGCCAGTGAGTATTACGAGTATTATTATGCTGGCCAGTGAGTATTACGAGTATTATTATGAGTATTATGTGATGCTATTGAGACAGGCAGCGGCCAGGCTTGTTATACTGGATCTCTCTCTCTCTCTCTCTCTCTCTCAAGTGTTTAGTGAGAGTGTTAGCGAGTGAGAGGCAACGTGTGGACAGGTAAGCTGAGTGAGTGGGTGGCTGGGGGTGGCTAGGTGGCTGGTGGGTGGCTGGGTGGCCTGTGAGGGTGGGTGTCTAGGGGGTGGTTAGGTGGAAGGCTGGTGGATGGTTAGATGGCTGGATGGTTGGGTGGGTGGGTGAGTGATGGCTGGCGGGTGTCCTATGTGGCTGGGTGGTTAGGTGGGTGGCAACACGTGGAAAATGGAGCAGCATCACACAAAAGCAGAATCGCCAGAATTAAATGAACCTGTTAGGGAGTATAAGGAATGAAGGAAGGAAGTGAAGGAATGGGGTGAGTGAGGGAGGGAGAGGGAGAAGAAAATGATAGAAGGTGAGAGAAGAGAGCTGAGGAGGGAGGAAGGAGTGGGGAGGAAATGTGGGAGGAGTGGAAACAGAGGAATGAGGGGAGGGAAGGAGGGAGGAGTGAGTGAGTGAAGGAAGGAGAGGCAGAAGAAATGAGGGATGGTGTGTAGAAGTGAGGGAGGGGGAGGGGGAGGGAGAGGGAGGGAGGTGTAGAAGTGAGGGAGGGGGGAGGGTAGAGGGAGGAAGGTGTGTAGAAGTGAGGGAGGGGAGGGAGAGGGAGGGAGGGTGTGTATGGGAGTGAGGGGAGAGAGGGGAGGGAGGGTATGGTATGAGAACAGGTGAGGAAATACACGAAGCTAAGGCTGAGATAAAGAAGCAGGAAGGAAGGTGAAGAGATAAAGAGAGATTAAGAGAAGGAAGATGGAGAGATAGAGAGAGATGGAGAGAAGGAAGATGAAGAAATAGAGAGATAACATTACGAGAAAGAATATAAAAAGAGACAAATTAAAAGAAAACTGGAACAGAGGGAAAAGAGAAATATATCTTATGAAAAGAGAAAAAAAGGTGGAGAGATTGAATGTATTTTAAGAGAGAGAGAGAGAGAGAGAGAGAGAGAGAGAGAGAGAGAGAGAGAGACAGACAGACAGACAGACAGACAGACAGACAGACAGACAGACAGATAGACCCATAATGAAAATAAATAAGATGAATGAGGAGGTGTGAGGGTGGTGACGCGAGGCATTGTGTGAGGCAGCAGACAGGTGAGGCAGACAGGTGGGTAAATAAATGAGGCTAACGCAGAGATGGGCAGAGATGCATTATGATGAGGGAAGATGGTGAAATATATAAGATGGAGAGGGCAGGGAGGAGAGGGCAGGGTGGAGAGGGCAGGGAGGAGAGGGCAGGGAGGAGAGAGCACGGAGGAAAGGGCAGGGAGGAGAGGGCAGGGAGTGAGAGAGCACGGAAAGGGCAGGGAGGAGAGGGCAGGGTGGAGAGGGCACGGTGGAGAGGGAAAGGAAGAGAGGATAGGGAGAATAGAGGGTAGGGAGACGAGAGGGAAGAAGGGAAGGGAGTAGAGAAAAAGAAGGCAGACGGATGAGAGATAAATTGACAGAAAGAGACAAGAGACAGGTGGAAAGACAGAGATAAACAAGAGACAAAGTGAGAGACGGAGAGAGACAAGGGACAGATGGAGAGACAGAGAGACACAAGACACAGAGAGACACAAGACACAGAGAGAGACAAGGGACAGATGGAGAGACAGAGAGACACAAGACACAGAGAGACACAAGACACAGAGAGACACAAGACACAGAGAGACACAAGGGACAGATGGAGAGACAGAGAGAGACAATGGACAGGGGGAGAGATAGAGAGAGACAAGAGACAGAGAGAGACAAGGGACAGGTGGAGAGACAGAGAGACAAGAGGCAGTTGGAGAGACAGAGGGAGAGACAATGGACAGGGGGAGAGACAACAACGAGACAGTGAGAGACAGAGGGGTAAGTGCCCTTGGTGAGCGTGGTGGTGGGTCGTCCAGGTCTAGGTTAGGGTGAGCCAGGATGTATTCAAGATACCCTCGACAGCTTCCAGATGACAGAGGATAGTGCCAGCCCTGGGCATAGTGGTGGTTGTTGCCCTGATGGTGGTTGGAGGTTATTGCCCTGATGGTAGTTGGTGGTTGTTGCCCTGATGGTGGTTGGTGGTTGTTGCCCTGATGGTGGTTGGAGGTTATTGCCCTGATGGTGGTTGGAGGTTATTGCCCTGATGGTGGTTGGTGGTTGTTGCCCTGATGGTGGTTGGTGGTTGTTGCCCTGATGGTGGTTGGAGGTTATTGCCCTGATGGTGGTTGCGGTTGCTGCCCGGATAGTGGGTGGTGGTTGTTGCCCTGATGGTGGTTGGTGGCTGTTGCCCTGATGGTGGTTGGAGGTTATTGCCCTGATGGTTATTGTCTGATGGTGGTTGGTGGTTGTTGCCCTGATGGTGGTTGGAGTTGCCCTGATGGTGGTTGGAGGTTATTGCCCTGATGGTGGTTGGTGGTTGTTGCCCTGATGGTGGTTGGAGTTGTTGCCCTGATGGTGGTTGGAGGTTATTGCCCTGATGGTGGTTGGTGGTTGCTGCCCTGATGGTGGTTGTGGTTGGCTGCTCTGATGGTGGTTGGAGGTTATTGCCCGGATGGTGGTTGGTGGTTGTTGCCCTGATGGTGGTTGGAGGTTATTGCCCTGATGGTGGTTGGAGGTTATTGCCCTGATGGTGGTTGGTAGTTGTTGCCCTGATGGTGGTTGGAGGTTGTTGCCCGGATGGTGGTTGGTGGTTGTTGCCCGGATAGTGGGTGGTGGTTGTTGCTCTGATGGTGAGTGTTAATTGTTGGTTTTTACCGCGCTGGTAGTTGTGGTTGTTGTCCTGATGTTGGTTGTGGTTTTTGCCTCGCTGGCAGTGATAGTAGTTGGTGTGGTTGTTGTGGTAGAAGATACACTATGTATGGTTGGTGATATGAGGGATAATGGTTGGTATGGTAGAATACATTGTTGGTGTGGTCAACGGTGTGGAGGTGGTGTTTGAAGGTGTGGTCAATGGTAAGGTTGTGAGTGAGTATGAAAGACATTGGTTAGTGTGGTAGAAGTGGTTGATGACGCCAGCGGTTGACAGTGATAAATAAAAAGGTCTCGGGTGAGGATAATGTGACTGGCTGTGGTAGAGGATGATGGCAGTGTGGTGGGTGTGGTAGAGGCTGTTGATAGCGTGGTGGGTGTGGTAGAGGATGTTGACAGTGTGGTGGCTAACTGTGGCAGAGGAAATTATCATCCTCACGTGTATTAGTTAGTGTATGGGCAGCCTCCTCCTCCTCCTCCTCCTCCTATTCATCATCATTATCGTCATCGTCATCAATTTCCTCTTTCACATTGCATATTTCTCTTTATTATTATCACACCTTATTTTTTCCTCTCTTCCTATTCGCAAGAAGAGTGTGAGCAGTGTTGTGGAGGGAGGGAGGAAGGGAGAAGGAAGGTAGGAGGTAGGAGAGCGGAAAGGAGGAAGAGAGGTGGGAGGGAGAAGGGAGGAAGGGAGGTAGGGGGGAAGAAAGGAGGAAGAAGGGAGAAGGGAGGAAAGGAGGAAGCGAGGTAGGAGGGAGAAGGGGTCATCGGCACGCGGGGGTGACAACAGATGACAGATAACAGAGTGTGGTGAAGCTCTGGCTGATATTTATGAGGTGCGTCTGAGTGTTTATACGACGACACACGTAAGGGAACGACTGCCGGGGAGGAGGAGGAGGAGAAGAAGAAGGATAAAGAGAAGAAGAAGATGGAGGGTAAAAAGGGGGAGGGAGTGGGGAAAGGAGGGAGGTAGAGGAAGATAGACACAGAAAATATACGATTAGAGAGAGAGAGAGAGAGAGAGAGAGAGAGAGAGAGAGAGAGAGAGAGAGAGACTATCACACACCTACGATGCCCCCCTGTGTATCTCTGAATTTACCTGTTCTATAAGACTCAGGGAAAGGCTGTTAGGCTAATATTAGGTTTATAATTATCCTCCTTGAGTCTGAAACCGCATTTATACTCACCTTATTACAACTGGATGGACTAGAGAAATGAGATGGTACGTTTTAGCAAGTTACTCCTTCAAGCTCTGTATACACTTGTTCAAAATACCTCCCACCTTCATGCTCTCTAATACTCGCTAAATGAGATCAGTTTGCGTCCTCAGTGAAACGATTGAATTTATGGACTCAGCTGGAATATACAGGTTGATATACTTACCGAGGAAGTACTTCTGACACTCAAGGGCGGTCTCTGAGTTGCCAAGGGCGAGGTGTGCCAGACCCAGGTTACAGTAGGCTCGACCCATCGACTTGCGGTCCTGAAGATCCTTAGCCAGCGCCAGGTCCTGGTCGTAGTATCTGATGGCTTCCTGCAAGACCAAACACACACGTACAGTCACAGCAACTTGGGGTTTATGTGTGGGAATTTAGTGATCTATCGGTGCTGTTATTTAAGCTGGTTATGTGGTCACCTACAGGCGATACTCTCCTCCCTAACATGCCTACAACTACTGTAACCTTCACTTCAATAGTTACATTATGAGGTGGAACCAAATTTTAAGATTAATTAATCATATCACAAGAGGTCTAGATATTAAATTAGTGATATAACAGAATACATTAGAGTTTATGGAAGTTATATCACTGAGAGATGTTTTTTTAAGTGAGGAAGTTAAATTATATATACTCCGAGAATAACTTTTAATGAACACCACAATGCTGTTAGTTTAACAAATTCAAATACGTCATACTGGTCTTGTTAATCTACACTAAATTGTGAGGTGGTATTTGATGACCCAGTAACTGAGAACACAACCATACTCACCTTGAAGTTGCCGAGGCAGTAGTGGGCGTAGCCAAGGAAGTGGCAGGCCCTGGCCTCGCCCTCAGTGTCATGGAGCTCCTGGGAGAGCATGAGGTACTGCTCGTAGTAGGGCACTGCCTGGGCAAACTCCCCTCTGGAGGAGTGACAGTTACCCAGGTTAAGGAGAGCACAGGCCTCCCCAGCAGTATCTTTGAGCTCCCTGGCGATGTTGAGGTGGGAGTGGTAGTGGAGGAGAGCCATCTCGTGCATCCCCAGCGCTTGGTACGCCACCGCCAGGTTACCGTGGGTTGAGGCCTCGCTCATACGATCGTTCACTTCTTTGCTGATGGTCAGCTCCTGTTTGTGGTACTTGATGGCTTGTTCGTAGTAGCCCATGGCAGAGTACGCGTTGCCGATGTTACCGTACGCCCTGCCCATCCCCGCGCGATCTTGAAGTAGTCTGGCGATGTTGAGGTGCGCCTGGTGAAGCTTGAGGGCCGCGTCGTGGTGGCCCATGAGCTGGTAGACGATGCCCAGGTTGGAACAAGCGCGACCCTCTGCTACCTTATCCTTAGTACTGAGGGCCATATCCAGCTGCTTCTCGTGCCACCGCTGCGCCTGGCCGTAGTCACTCATACAGCGAGCTGCGTGACCCAGCCCGGCGTACGCCCTCGCCTCAATTGTACGGTCACGTAAGTCCTGAGCGATCCTCAACACGTGGTTGTGGAAGGCGATGGCCTGGTCAAAGTTGCGCTTGTAGTGGTGACTGGAGCCTAAGTTACTGTAAGCCCGCGCCTCCTCCACTTTGTTGTTGAGGTGCTTGGCGATGCGTAGGTGTTCCATGTGGCAGTCGACGGCGCTGTCGAAGTCACCCATGGCCAGGTAGACGGCGCCCACGTTGCCAATCTCTCGCGCCTCCTGCAGCTTGTCACCCATTTGTTTCACCAGCTGAACACATTGCTTGTGAGACGCCAAGGCGTTAGGGTAGTCACCGATGGCTGTGTACACATGACCTGCCGACACAAGAAAACCGTCACAACTCTGGAACTCACAAATAACATGGAAAACATCAGATGGTCTCACGAAGCTTGAACCAAGACTAACATCAAGCACCAACCATTGGACCTTCAAAATCGTGGCACCACAGGTTCATTATTGCTTCAATTAGTGGTCAGGGTGTATACACAATGGTGTGGCCAGAAGTACAATCAGTATGATACAGCTACAGTGTAACGAGGTGACGCAGCAAATATCATAAGTGTTGCAAAGATAAAATGGCCAGTGTTTTGGCCAGAGTGAGTGCAAACTTGCGTGACGCATGTAGCGTAGTCAAGGTGTGACAGGAGTGTGGCCAAGGTATGGCAGGAGTGTAGCCATGTGATGGTGGCGGGGGGAGGTCAGGCGGCGAGTGTTTGAACCATAATAAAATGTGAGGTGGAGTGAGTTGTCCGCCGCCATGACCAATAATCAGGAGCATCTAGTGGTTACTGTGCCGCCCACACGCCCACACCCCTGCCCCCTACCCCGTGCCCACACCCAGACCTCGTGCTCACACCCCTGCCCCCTACCTCGTGCTCACATCCCTGCCCTCTACCCCATGCCCACACGCCCACACCTCCTGCCCCCTACTCCTTGCTCACACCTACTGCCCACTACCCTCTGGCCCACACCCCTGCCCCGTACCCCACGCCCACACCTCCTGCCCACCTACCCCTTGCTCACACCTCCTGCCCACTACCCCTTGGCCCTACCCCGTGCCCACCCTGCTACCCCACGCACACTACCCCTGCCCCCCTACCCCCTGCTCACACCTACTGCCCACTACCCCGTACCCACATTTCCTACCCCCTTACCCCTGCCTACACCTCCTTCTCCCTTCCCTTACCCACACCGCCTAACCTTACCCACACCTCCTGCCCCTACTCCTACCCACGCCTACACCCCCTCGGTCCCCGGTAAATGGCTCCTCCCTCGTTCACATCTGGTGGTGGTGGTGGTAGTGATGGTGGAGGTGGTGGTGGTAGTGATGGTGGAGGTGGTGATGGTGGTTGTTGTTGTAGTGTTTATTGTTAGTGGTTGTGTTGGTTTTGGTGGTGATTGTGATTGTGATTATTATTTTGATGATAGTTGTTGTAGTTGTAGTAGTGAGGATGGTTCTACAAGTAAATTGGTAGATGTTGTTGTTATGATCGTGGTTGTTGTGGTGGTGATTAGTTTTGGTAGTTTGGATCACTCTCTAATTATTAGCTTTGTTATAATATCTGTTGTAGTGATTGTTGTTGTGGTGTTAGCTGCGACGCTAGCTTAGCTTTGGTTGTGGCAGCTGTTGTGGGTGTCGTTGTGTTTCAGGGTTTTGGTGAAAGCTGTGACGGCGGTGACTGTAATACTGAAAGCTGTTTTTAGTTGTCATTAGGAGGCAAGCAGCTACAATAATAATAGTAGTAGTAGTAGTAGTAGTAGTAGTAGTCACTGAATGCCGCATAGATCTGCGGCTCAACTAACCCAACACAATTAGGATAGCTACTTATGTATTAGGATATTTAATATTAAGGTAATAAAATGGTGGCGAAGGTATGGCTATTGGGGGAGGCTGGAGGCCATTTTGAAAAAAGAAAAGAAAAAAGAAAGTAGTTGTTGTTGTTGTTATTGTAGTTGTTGTTGTAGTTGTTGTAGTTGAAGTGATGGTGGTAGTAGTGATTGTGATAGTGGTGGTAAAAGCGGTGGTAGTGGTAGTAGTGGTAATAGTAGTAGTAAGTCCTTCCTCATTGTGAAACCAGAACATTATGAACGGGCAATGGAGGAGTTCGGTCAAAATAACAAGGGATGGCCAAAGACACCTAGGCACAGTAATCGGCACGATGGACTTCAAGACCGAGTATGTAACGGAAAAGGTGAATGAGTGGGTTAGGGAAATCCAAGCTCTGTCTGAGATTGCTAACACAGAGCCACATGCGGCTTTAGTGGCATGGAGTCAAGCATCACTGGAACTACCTGATGCGCACTATCCCTGATATCGGGCCCCTCCTCCACCCTCTGGAAGAAGCTATCAGCGTCAATTTCATTCCCAAATTAGTGAAACACCCTCACTTAACCCCAGCAGAAAGATCACTCCTTGCACTACCACCGAGACTGGGAGGAATGGGATTGACCAATCCAGAGGAGATTGCGGCCACCGAACATCAAAACTCAGTTAAGCTTACGGCAGCCCTCACGGACCACATAATAGCTCAGAACGCAATAGGGGAGGTGGATACCAGTGAAGTAAACAAGATTCGAAGGTCCATTACGACAGAACGACAGCACGGCCAAGGTGATAAGTTGCAGCAACTGTTGCTGCAAGTACCAGAGAATTTGAAAAAAGTTGCTATAGCGCAGGAGGTGGGCGCCTCGAACTGGTTAACTACGTTACCGATAAGGGCAAATGGTTTCAGTCTCAATAAACAAGAATTTACAGATGCCAATGCTCTAAGGTATGGTAGGCCAGTAGAGGGTTTGCCCTCCCAATGCGTGTGTGGCTCTTCCTATGACGTCGATCACGCCATGGTGTGCAAGAAAGGGGGGCTTCATATGCATGAAGCATGATGAAGTAAGGGATCTCACAGCAAATATGTTGAAGGAAATATGCCGTGATGTCAGGGTAGAACCGACCCTCCTTCCATTGGACGGTGAGAATTTCCAACATAGGACTTCAAATACATCCAACGAAGCCTCTGTTGATGTCAGTGCTCGAGGATTCTGGACGAGGGGACAGCGAACCTTCTTTGACATCAGGATTTTTTATCCCATGGCCGCATGTCACCGTAACCTAGCTCTCGATGCTGCACACAGGAGGAACGAGAGCGACAAGATAAGGACATACGGGGAGAGAATTCAGAACGTTGATCAAGGCAGCTTCACTCCTCTAGTGTTCACAACCTCTGGTGGGATGAGACCAAGTGCAAGATGCTTCTATGCCAGACTCACGAAAGGTGCTATCCGAACAGAAGCAGCAGCCCAGAAGTTATGTTACAGCCTGGATGAGATGTCGACTGTCCTTCTCTCTCCTTAGGTCGGCTTTGCTCTGCCTCAGGGGAACGAGAGCATCGGCCCCAAAGCCAACAACAGTTGCAGATATTGACTATGTGGCAACAGTCAGTGAATGCCACATAGAACTGCAGCTCAACTAACTCAACACAGCTAGGATAGCTACTTATGTATTAGGATATTTAATTTTAAGGTAACAAAATGGCAGCGAAGGTATGACTATTAGGGGAGGATGGAGGCCATTCACGAATAAAAATTAAATAAATAAATAAATAGTAGTAGTAGTAGTAATAGTAATTATTTTAATAGTAATAGTGGTAGTGGTAGTGGTAGGAGCTGGTCTCTCAGGTGTGCGCGACAGGTAGAACATTAATGCCATTTGCTCGTTGACAGTATCGCGGGCAGCATCTCCGTTGATTTGCACTTCCACGAAAATCCAGTCATGCTCTAATGAATGACTCGGGAAGGTGGAAGGAGGAATAAGGCCTTTATTATTATTATTATTATTATTATTATTATTACTATTATTATTATTACTATTATTATTATTATTATTATTATTATTATTATTATTATTATCTTCTTTGTCTCTAGATTCATTATTTTAGTTCTGCCATCACCCTATAAGTCTGTCTGTTTTGGGACATTCTTCTTTTGATTCTGTTCTAAGTAACTGTTGACCCTGTACTTCTACCCCTTCTTCCTTTTTTACCCACTTTCCTTCTTAACTCTTCTCTCTCCCTTATTCTTTTCCTTCCTAGCCATCCCTTTTCTCCCCCCTCTTTCTCCTCAATCCTACTCTCTCCCCTCCTTCCTTCACTTCCCAACTTTCCTCTCTCCCCTCCCCCAATCCATCTCTTTCCCCTTCTTTGCTCTTCTATGTTCTTCCTTCTCTCTATTACCCTTCTCACCTTCTTCCTTCCTTCTTCTTTCCTTCCTTTCTCTATCCTCCTCTCCCCTTCCTCGTCTCATTCATCTCCCTCCCTCTCTCCCAAACGACCCTTCCTACAACCTTCTCTCTTCTCCTATCTTCATCATCGTTCTCTCATTCCTTCTCTTCTCTTCTTATTTTTTAACTCTCTCACTTTAGTTCCTTCTTTTTCCTTTCTCTTGAGGTGGACGAATAGATGATTGCTGTTGTTGTTGTTAGTTGCACGCACACACACACACACATACACACACACATCCCTAGCCCGAGAATTGCTGTTCGACATCACAACAGCATCCAGCCCATACGTGCACGAACTGATCGCTATAAGAACAGCCCAGTCCCAACCATTGTAAAAATTATCAATAACTTGTAATAAACCAGTGTATTCACTCCCAGTAAACACTACTCCTTGCACTGTCACTATGTTGAAATGAACTGTAGTTTGAGCTTTTCCCCATTTAGTTATTATATATCTTATTTGTATCACTTATGTTACTTGTATATATTATTTGTAATTCGAAACCCATTCCCCAAATATAACTGTATATTTTCAGCCTCTGGCTGCCAAGCTCTTTCAATAAACCGTTAATTATTATTATTATTATTATTACACACACACACACACACACACACACACACACACACACACACACACACACACACACGCACACGCACACACACAGGCTCCTGGTTGGCAACACTTTCACCCCCTCACAGAAAAGTCATCTCAACGCCATATTTTTTTCTCCTCTTCTTCTTCTTCTCAAGACTTAGTTGTGTCCGGCAAGAGTTTTATCTTCTGTAAATAGTTCCAGCAATGAGAGTTAATGACGGAGGGAGTTCTATTGTCCGCGACTTTTATACTCACAGATTGTCGCTTCTCGTTATTTTGAGGGGAGGGGGGGAAGGGGGCAGGAGGTAGAGGGTAGGGGGGGAAGGGGCAGGGGGTAGAGGGGCAGTGAGCAGGGGGAAAGGGGGGGGGTCGTTTCTTTTACGTTTCGCTAACAACTTTCTGTTTTTGTTCACTTACGACACAAATGTTAATGATATAATTTTTTT